TATCTTTAACTGCATACAGAAAGCTTATTTTTAGTATTAAGTTTCATTTATACTGCCATAAGAATTATTAAAAAATTATTTCTTATTTTTTTTATTATACCTGGTACAGTAAAATTATCATGCTTATTAAAAAAAATAAACGAAATAATTTTTTAATTGTTCTTAGGGTACAGCTAGTTAATCCAAGGTAAAACAAAATTCGAAACTAAATGTTTTTCCTTGATTTTATTATTTTGTTTGATGTTTATTGTTATTTCCTTACATCGTTCATATACTTTTTTACGATAGGTTCATAGAAACCCGTGGCCTCTTTAAATTTGTTCTCTTGCATAAAAAGGACATGAGCCACATTCAGTCTCCATACGTCATTATCGTTACAAAATTCAACACTTTTCCGAAATATTTTTTCGACTTGCCCATAATTTTCCAACTCCCAATAAATCTTGGCTTGTACCATTAACACGGGGATATACCTCTCAAGGCATTCTTCGTACTCAAAAACGGTTTTTTTCACCATTTCAGTGTTATTATGGTTTCGATATTCTTGCACTTGTTTAGTCAGTTTACGCAAAGTTTCTGTATGTCTGTTGGCTAAATCGTCAAGTTTTTGGTAAGCATCGGGGGGCGACGTCTGACGAGTAATTACAGCGTCCAAAAAATCGTATAAATACTAAAAAATAAGTCCCAAATCATCACATACTAAAGAAATGAAATAATGTTTTACATACAGATGTAAGATATTTGTAAGTTAAATGCGCATTTTCCGCTAAGACATCTGCAGCTAGATCATACAGTTCATGTTGACATAAGAGAAGCAACAAGTTAGCAAACGTTTCAGGTGGAAAAGGATTTTGTTGGATAAGAAATTGGAGCTTTTCGAATCCTTCTGTAGGGTTCTGATCAAAGTTCATTAGGGCTTGGTTATGCAACGTCACTGCGTCCAATTCGTGCTCAGCCCGTGGAGGCATGTCTGTTAAGGCTTCGCGAGCAGCATCCACTTTAATATGTAGAAATAAGCACATTCAGTATTTGAAATTAACAATAATAAGTACTGCCAAGATAAAAACTAATAAGTACTCCTTTTTACATGTATATACTTATAGAGAAATTATACAAAACAATGCAAATTTGAATTTTAAATCTTAACTTACAATTTTTTAATTGATACTCAATGGCAGCTTTCAAATTAAATGCCTCTGTGAGAGCAGTTTCATGTAATGTTAAAGTATTTCCAACAGATCTGACTTCAATACCTTCTGTTTGCATTCCCACACCAAGTTCAGGATGATCTTTTATGCCCCTCTCAATTATATCAGCTAAAAGCATTTCTCAATGACTTCTCTATTGTGGTACGGTTCAGAAATAGATTTTCTTACCACAATTTTTGAGTGCCAAACCATATTCTTTTAATTTGTAATAGCAAAGAGCAATATTGTAGCTTATATAAGGTTTAAAACCTGTGTTTTGTAGACAAATAAGAAACTTATTCAGTGCTTCTTCATAATATCCTTCCTGCATAATATAATTTAAAAATTAAAGTAAAAAAAAACATTTATTTATAATTACTGACCTGGAACAAAATACATCCAATATTAATATCAGAGTCTGCATCTTCATTAAGAAATGATTCTATTATTTCTCTAGATGTTGTAAAGTCCTCCTCACCATATTTAATAGCAGACTGTATTTTTTTTACCTACAATCTACCCACTTTACCTTCAGTTATCTTTTTCAATATCTTTTATTACCTTTAGTTTGTACTCTGAGTTTGTTATTTCCTCTGTAATTTTGTAAGCATCAATGTACATGCAAGCCTGATGTAACGATTGTGCATAATATAATTTGTAGTCAGTATTATTTGGAAACATCTGGACGAGTTGTTCATAATATGTAGCTGCATTGTTAAAATCTTGTGTGTAGTAATAACAGTATGCTAATAAAGATAAACCTGCCCTTGTTAAATTAGATTCTGGTATTCCATGTAGGATTCTTATAGCTTCGCCATACCGTTCTTCCTTTATCTAATAATGGGATGTATGTATTATGATTATGAATTACTATTATTCTTACCAAATTGTATGTAGTTTTTGTAAAATCGCCGTCGTTAATTGCAACAGATGCTGAAAGCATTTTTTGAAGTCGACAATGGACGCGAAATGCGAAACTTTTTATTTATGAAGTGGTTTCCATGGTAACTTCTGTCGGTACCCCACGATCAGCCCCGATTATTAATTTTGAATTTCAAAATTACAAATTATTAGAGATATTTAATAAAAACTTCCCCAAATACTATCAACAATTATATAATATACAGATCGAACGTTTTTAATCTTTAATTTAATTAANTACACTATTGCACTTTCAAATACCATCAGATGTCTTATTTGCTTCACTAAAAATAGAAGTTGAAGAAAGAAGACAAACAATATTTCGTAAGCTATCTTCTATTATAATATAGCTAAAGCATTAAGGTCAATTTTTTAGCTTGTAAAGCTGAGAATGTTGACTTATATTTTAAACACGGTTCCCCTCCTGTGATAAATCCTGATGGCTCAAAGTTTCCCTCTACATTTTACAATCTTTCTCGACCTCAGCCTTTTTATATTAATTTTACATCGCAAAGTCCTGCCCAATACATAAATTTAACATCACCAACACCTGGGATGTACTTTATATCAACTTTTTTGGCATATACTGATCCTCGGTATGATGGTATCAATCAAGAAGGTAACAAATATAACAAGTATAATAAAAAATAAAAAAGACCATGGTTTTATTCACAGGTTTGGTACCAAAATGTAAAGTATATTTAGTCATAACACTTTACATTTCAACCGTGGAGGATGTGGAAATAGTTACAAAAGATGTGGACATGGAAGTGACTTTATCTTCAAAAAGCTATGCTGTTTTTAAGTTTTTTGCGCCAGAGAAAGTTGATCACGTATTTCTCACGATTGTAGACAGTGTTTCATGTAAAGACTGTGACTTTTTTAACGTTCGAATTCAGCCACATAATGTACCGTCTATGTTTAAGTCAATTAAAAGCCTAGATATACCAGTAGCAAATTTTTCGAGACAAAATTATAGCATTAACATTTGGACTCCAGAAAATGCCTGGTACTATTTAAGATTCCAATTCACGCAAAAAACGTTTTCATTAATTAACGGAGGATTTTTTACATTCAGATTGAAATTTTTCTTGTTACCAGAGTTAATTAATGAAAACGTAACTTTAAATTTGAATAATTCAAATTTTGATACGTACGTGCCGGATCCTGTTTTTAGATTGCATAGAGATGGAAATATTTCCAATATTATGTCATACAACGAGTATGATTTGGTGAGAGAGCGAAACTCTGATAATTTCGTGTATGGGTATGATTTAAGACCAAAGAAAAACGGGAAAATTCCTCTGTACATAAACGCGACAAATGATAAATTTACTGTTCTTAAATTTGTTATTCAAGATAGTACCGATAGCGGAGGCACTGCTCAATTTCATTTGGCTGTTAAACCAAGAGCTAAATATGTTAATGGTAAAAGAATTGTAGAAACAGATCCTGAGAATAATCAAGTAGTCGCATGCATACGTAAAGGAGTTCGCGAATTACCCCTTTGGCCTCACAATTGTTTTTTCAATAACATATCTCAACCGTCACCAATTTTTGTAAACAAAACAGTTGAAAACGCCTCCGTAATGATACCGTATCCAGAACCAGGGACTTGGTTCATCTCCATTCGTTTATTTTGCGGTTCATGCGAGTCTTGTAATTGTTCTAATCATTGTCAACACAAACATGAAACTTGTATGCAGGTCTGTGAAGAAAATTGTGAGCCAGAGCAATGTAATAACTGCACCAACACGTGCAGACAGTCGGTTATTGAGGAAGATGAATGCAGGGGATGTGACTGCATTGGGGGATGTAAAAGAAATAACATAAATTGTAATACAAGTATAGTATTCGAGGTGGCATCATTTTCCTGTGTTGATGGGACATGTGGAGACAATGGAAAGTGTGTCTTTTCGATTTCTGAGGGATTTGTGGTGACTTCTTGCTTTTGCACGAATAATTACAGAGGTAAGTAGTCATTAAATTTTCTTCTGTAAAGCTTTGTAAACGTTTTAACATTCCTCTTTTAGGGTGGGAATGTTCTGATAATTCTCAAGCCAATCCTTATTCTGCAATTGTAGTAGAGATGGTTTTGCTAACTTTGAGTAACCTTATGTTTGTGCCAGCTGTTTATTTAGCAATTAAAAGACACTACTATATCGAATCACTCACCTATACACTGCTTTGCCTGTCTTCTACTTTTTATCATGCCTGTGATGCTGGTGAAAACATAATCAGTTACTGTCTAATACGTTTGAATATTCTATTATTCTCTGTCATATGAAAATATACGCTCCATCTACTATAGATATATATGCTCTAAAGATAAACTTGGTATATACCACTATAAACATGCTATAAACTATAAATAAAACTGAAAATAGTGGTCAATAATGGTCGTCACGATAACTTGATAACCTGTAATAAGATCAAACGTAATCTGGTAATAATGTAATTAAATTTTTAAAAAGTAAATAATGATTAGATAAGTAAAACAAACAATAAAAATGGCAAAGGAACTAAACAAATCCAACTTATTTGTATGCATGTAAAATGTACTTGGTTTACAACTACTGAAACTAATCTATTAAGGACAAGGTAATTTTTGGATTAACTTTAAGTACTGAGTAATTGCTTTATAAATTAAACTGAAACTAGTTTAATAATACATCTAGAAAATAAAAGTGAAGTCATTTCTTAATTTGCTTAGTTCTATTAAGAATTCGGATTTGTAATATTTTATCTAAGTTTAATGTATCTTGCTGTTATATGTTGAGGTAATTCCTAGAATCCCATGCAGTAATGTTTCAAGGAAATGCGGGTTTAAAACCGAAAGAAGGTGAAGTCACTTCGAAGCCCTGGCAATGGCCTATTAATTACAGGNTGCTTGGGTTTACGTTTAATTGGGGTGCACTCTTAGATTATTTTTAGTTAAAAAAATGAAATGTACTCATTTAAGGACTTGGAAACTTTCCTTTTTGAGTGTATGCTTGTTAACAATTTTAACAAGATTTTACAAAGTGTCAGAGCCGGATCATGTATGGTAAGTATAATAAAGTAAGAGATTTCTGTTTATCATTTTAAATGGCTTTTTTATTTATATTAGCTGGGATGAAACACATTTTGGAAAAATGAGTAGCTGGTATATTAACAGAACTTTTTTCTTTGATGTGCACCCTCCACTAGGAAAGGTAAATTAAGAAAAACTATGAATATGTAGGTATATTAACAATATTTTAAGTTTTATTTTTCTTTTACTAGATGCTTATAGGTCTTGCGGGATACTTAACAGGATATGATGGCAGATTCGCTTTTGAAAAACCAGGAGATAAATATGAAAATACAAGCTACTTAGGAATGAGAATTGTAAGAAATGGTGAATTTTTAATCATTTTCTTTTTAATATCAAAAGTATTTCAGTTTTGCACAAGCATGGGAGCTACAATTGTTCCATTTTCATTTTTAATCGTTGATGAAATGACTAATTCATTAAGAGCTTCCATATTAAGTTCTTTATTAATTTTGTTTGGTAAGACATTAATACATAATAAGAAAGAAAATTGTCTGATAATGTATTTTCAGATGTAGGATTAATAACTTTAACACAGTACATTCTTTTGGATCCCTTACTTTTGTGCTTTATGATGGGTTCAATATTAGGAGCTGTAAAAGTTTCTTCATCGAAAACTAAAGAGTTTTCAAAATTGTGGTGGTCTTGGTTGATATTCACAGGAACAATGTTAGCATGCTGTGTTTCAGTAAAATTTGTGGGTCTGTTTCCTGTTATTTTGGTGGGATTAATCACCATATCAGATTTATGGAACATTTTAGGAGATTTAAGTAGACCAGTGGTAAGTGTGTTTAAATCAATAGAAATTCTAAATTCTTTTATGAAAATTGGGTAATAATGGCTCGACTATAAATGTAATGTAAATGGTATAAAGGCTAGTAATAGTAGGAAATAAAAAACTAAGTAAATTGATAAGGAGGGTAAAGAAAAATGAAATCTTTTAAATTATAATTAAAACAACGAGCATATTCTAAAAGAGTAAGTTATGTAATAAAAAGCGGCATTTAAACAGAAAAAATTTTTGGAGAAAAAATAAAAAAATAGAACATAGAACAAAATAGTCTAATAAAAATGAATAACAACTTGAACAATAATAGTAGATCAATCTGGCCTCGATTCAGTAAGACTGTGTGTTAAAGTAGGAATATGTATTATAAAATAGTTATGGATCAGTAAGCAAAGTAAAAGATAATAACAAAAAAAAAAAACAAAAAACAATATGTATAATAAACCTATCAATTGTTCATTTTCAATACCTTTCTATACAGCTATGAGAGATTCATTTTAATCGGAATTATTTTTTCATGTTATTTGGTTGATTTTTGACAAAAAAGGTCTTCGTAAATTTTTTTCAAAAATTAATATTTCCTGAGTTGTGAAGTTTTTAAAAAATTCAGGGAATGAAAATTTACAATGTAACAAACAAGGCTTTTCACAAGTAGTTTTTTTATCCATATCATGTATTATTTGTAGGAATGTCCTAATGGATAATTATTTTTTGATTGAAAAATTCGAAAAAAAAATACGATGCTCTCACTGGCATTTAGTGCCTTAGATATAAATATCTCTTATTTCTTATTTTATTTATTTGTACGGAATTATCTTGTACAATCAGATATAAAAAATTCAATGCATTTGCATTTATTTGAGTGTAATGAGCTTTTTTCATATACTCATATTACAATCATATTTTTTATTAGCCACATGTTTATTTCTATTTTATGTTATATATATTGCTTTCCTAATGTTTGCTCAATAATAACTTATAGTTCACTAAAATAAAAAGTTAAAAAGTAACATCCTTTTTCGGGGAATTTGTTAGAAGGTTTGATTGGTTCGGATTGGCTAAATGAACTACAAACCTACGAATCATAAAAATAAAAACTGATCAGGTGAGAAGTGAGGTTAAAATCACTTCTGTAAACATATATTTCTTATATATTAATACACTATTTATAAATTGTTAATTTTGAATGTGATCTAAAATTTTGTTTGTTTGTATCCTTTACGATGCGGATACCAAAAGACTTTGCGGAACTGGTTCGTTTCGCCCAGAAGCAAAGGTACAAAAACCATGCACATTCTGTTATCAATATTGGATAATTAATCATAATAATTGCAACGTTCTTGTTAATATAGAAGGTGAAAAGTGAAAATGTATTGTTTACGAATATTATCATTGCAAAATAAAAAGAATTTTTTGCGGTATGGTGTAATAAACTTGAGCCGCAAAAATAAGGTTAGAAATATCAAGTTAGATTTTGTTCAAGTACCCTTAATAAGTAAATGTGCTTTTACCCACACCGATACCAAATCGTTTAATACCGAAGATAATAAGCGAAAATATGCGGTTGCTACAAAGTTGGTTGATCTTGCTCCAAATTCTGTGAAGCCCTATTTAAAACTGATACGACTAGATAAACCAATAGGTTCATGGCTACTATTTTGGCCTTGTGGATGGAGTATTGCCTCAGCAGCGGACGCAGGATGTCTTCCCGACCCCTTTCTATTATTTCTTTTTGGTACAGGAGCTCTTGTAATGAGAGGTGCCGGCTGTACCATAAATGATATGTGGGATCGCGATATAGATGCCAAAGTGGTTAGAACAGTAGACAGGCCTTTAGTTAATGGTGATATTTCTATGAAACAGGCATGGAAGTTTTTAGCTGGACAATTAAGTGTAGGTTTACTAGTGCTATTACAATTGAATTGGTATAGTGTTATACTAGGGGCCAGTTCATTATTTTTAGTAGTTACTTACCCTTTAATGAAAAGGATCACCTATTGGCCACAGTTAGTGCTTGGGTTTACGTTTAATTGGGGTGCACTCTTGGGTTACAGTGCTGTGAAGGGCTATGTAGATGTTCCTATATGTCTCCCACTTTATATAGCTGGCATATGTTGGACCATTGTGTATGATACCATATATGCACATCAAGACAGAAATGACGATCTAATGTTGGGCATTAAGTCAACAGCCATTCGATTTGATAGAAATACAAAATTATGGTTGAGTGGTTTTTCTAGTGTTATGATAACAAGTTTGATAACATCAGGACTGATGAATGATCAGAGTTGGCCTTACTATGTAGCTGTTAGTGCTGTAGCTGCTCATCTTGTTTCTCAAATTAGTTGCTTGGACATAGATAATCCACAGGATTGTGCTAAAAAATTCTTTTCGAATGCACAAGTGGGATTTATATTATTTTCTGGTATTGTATTAGGGACGTTATTAAAGAAAAATGTGAAAAATAAGAACAAATTTTTAGCGACCGCTCATTTAAATGTATAGTACTCCAAATGTGATTAGTATTATTTTTAATAGTGTATTAAGTACATGTTGTTGCCATTTGCCAAAGGAAACCTACTTATAGTATAATGTTAACTTATGAAAAATAAAAGTAAATATATTTAATTTGATTTTCTTTTCTTTAACATACATAAGAATATAAGGATACGCACAGAGATAGAAGAGTGACAGTTACAGTTTGTATAAAGAGCAACAAGTGTCTACTTAAAGAATTTGAGCAACCTTGTAGAGAAATAAATATTAGGAAGATAGTTACACAAGAATATACATTGTCACATTAAAGATAGGACAGCTTTAGGGATAGATACACAGGAACAAAAGTAACAAATACAGATGCATCCTGTAGAGGTGTAAAACACCTGCATGCAGTATCAGATCAGTGCAAAAACATTAAAACTTA